GCAATGTATGTAGTATTGTTGATATATGTGTGTGTATCTATATATACACACCTTATAAATCTCATATTATATTAATAGTATTAACTTTTGTTTTAAATAGTAGATTGTCTTTTAACTAAATCAAGAAAAGAAAACATGAAGTATTTTATATTTAGCCACATATTTAACATTTTCAATGCCCTTCATTACTTCCCGTAGCTCTGAATTTCCATCTGATGTCATTTTCCTTCAGCGTGAAAAATTTCCTTTAGAATTTCTAGTAATCCAGGTATGCTGGCAATAAATTATCTGTTTGTGTACCTGGCAATGTATTTTCCCTTCGTTTTTGAGAGATATTTCTGTTGATATAGAATTTTGGGTTGACAATATAGGCATCCTTCAGTATACTTGGGGGACTGGTTCCAGGACCCCTGAATATACCCAAATCTGCACATACTCAAGTCTTGGAGTTGGCCCTGGGGACCCTGCATATACAAAAAGTTGGCCTTCTATATATATGGGTTTTGTATCTCATGAATACTATACATCTGCAATTTGTTGAAAAAAATCTATGTATAAGTGGACCCACACTGTTCAAACCCATGTTGTTCAAGGATCAATTGTACTTTCTTTCAGCACATTAAAAATGCCATTCCATTGCCTTCCAGCTTCCATTCTTACTGATGAGAAGTCAGTCATAAGGTATCTCATTTTTTCCTGGCTGCTTTCAAGATTTTCATCTCTTCATGAATCTATGGTTTTCTTTCTTGGTTATTAATCTATCATATAAAATAGACAGAGTTGATATTATTAACTCCAGATGACCTATTAAAAAACTGAAGCTTAGAGAGGTTGATTGATATCAGGTTTAGTGGCAAAATTTGGGCTCTAACTATATTTATCCAGTCTAGGGTTTGCTAAGCTTCTTGGGATTGTAAGTTTATAATTTTTAACCAACTCTGGGAGAGTTTCATCTACTCTTCTAATATTTTTTCTGCCCTATTCTCTCTTTCTCTTTTCTTCTGAGACTCCAATTACAAAAATATTAGACTGCTTGATATTGTCCCACTGTTTACTGGAGTCCTGCTCATTTTTACCAATATTTTCTTTCTATTCTTAAGATTGAATAATTTACATTAAATCTATCTTAAAGTTCATTGGCCCTTTCTCTAACTGTTGCCTCCAATCAGCTGATTAGTTCACTCTGTAAAATTTTCATTTCAGATATTGGACTTTTCAATTCTAAAATAATCACTTAGTACTTTTTATTTTTTTTATTTTTATTTTTTTTGAGACAGAGTCTCACTCTTTTGCCTGGGCTAGAGTGAGTGCCGTGGCGTCAGCCTAGCTCACAGCAACCTCAAACTCCTGGGCTCAAGTGATCCTTCTGCCTCAGCCTCCCGAGTAGCTGGGATTACAGGCATGCGCCACCATGCCCGGCTAATTTTTTTTCTATATATTTTTAGTTGTCTGATTAATTTCTTTCTAATTTTAGTAGAGACGGGGTCTCGCTCTTGCTCAGGCTGGTTTCGAACTTCTTGGGCTCAAACAATCCGCCCGCCTCGGCCTCCCAGAGTGCTAGGATTACAGACGTGAGCCACTGCGCCCGGCCTACTTAGTACTTTTTAATAGTTTCTATTTTTCTGATAAGATTCTCCATCTATTCATTTATCTTGACCACATGTTTCATTACAATAGTTGATTTAATGTCTTTGCGTCTGCTAATTCCAAATCTTGGTCATCTTGGGGTCAGTTTCTATCAATCGCTCAACATTAATTTGCTTAACATGGTTTGCTTTGCATTATGTAATTAGTTGTTTTTAGTGGTTTACCTGCATATTTTCCCCACCAGACTTCAAACTCCTCAGTGTTTGGAATGGTCTCTTTAACACTGTGTGACCCAGCAGGTATGTAGCAAATAATCACAGAATAGGGTTGAATCAAAGCCAAGTATCCCTGATCTTATGTGGAAAAAGTAACCTTCTCCTTCCTCATTCCCATCTTGAAGCAGGTCCCCATCTGTCCTATCTGCTTGCCTTTCTCTCAAAGCTCTGCCCTGAGGTAGCAGCCAAGCACTCCTGCTAAGTATGAACTTTTAAGCTTCAAAAGACAACATGCCTTTTAAAAAGGGGCTTTGCAATTTGAAAAGCTAGAATCACTAACAGTGGAGTTTCAGAAAGGACAATGAACTAGGCTGGTCAGCTGTCTGGCAGATAACTAACTCTTATCCACTGACTCAGGACTACCATCATTAAGACTGTCACTTGGTTTCTGAATATTACTTAATAATCATACTTTTAAAGATGGAGAAACTGAGATAATCAGCTACAATCACCTAACAATAATATGTTACATTGGTAGAATGAGTTCTACTTTTCCATGGGAAATAGATAGAGTTGATATTATTAATCTCAGGTGACTTATGAACACACTGAAGCTTAGAGAGATTAATCAATGGACCCAAAGTCACAGATTTAGTGGCAAGATTTGGGCTGTAACTCAGACCACCTGCTTGACAGCCATTGTTACCTCTAATATGGACCTCTTCATGGAGGTCAGAAAAAGTACTTCTGGTTACCTCAATTATTATGTAGTTCACTAACCAGTATTTATCAGGAAATGGGGCTTGCTGGTAACGATCAAGGAAAGCAAGATACACATCATAATGATACTCTCTCCCAGCAGCCCCAGAGATAAACATTCTCTAGTTAGAGAAATACAATTCCAATGAACACGTAAGGTCTAGTTTTGGTCTAATGTTTTCTGTTTGGACTCTAACTTCTAAGACTCAACATTTTAGGGTAATGGACTACTTTGAGAAGCTGAAGAAAGCTAGTCCTTCTGAGAAAAATGCAAATATGCACACACGGTGGCAGCTGATCTCAGGGGATCCTCGACCCTGTTGAAGTCCATCCACTGAACCCAAGTTAACAATCCATTAACTATTGATAATTAGGACTACTAACCATCCTGGTTTGCATAGGACCAAGGAGTTTCTCAGGATGCAGAACTTTCAGTACTAAATCAAGAAAGTCCAGAGCAAATCAGGATAAGCTGGTCACTCTAGAACTAAATGTTCTTTAAATTCCATTCCAGCTCTGGCATCATCTAGAATGCTGACCTGTGTAGCAAGAGCCGGTCAAAATGTAATTGCCTGGGTTCCAGCTCTAGTTCTGGGCGGATTCCTTGGCAGCTTATTTTGAAGACAGCTGGCTCTGGGTTCTCTTTGATGCAGCAGACAATGCTGTCTTCAAAGACACCAACTGCAGTAGGGTAGGCCCATATGTTTAGCACCTGATGGAAGAACCAAAAGAAAGTACATTTCATACCGAGGATGCCAAGGCTTCAAATTTCCCAAGAAAGCATTGCCCTGGTGACTTGTTTCCACATGACGGTACCTGCTTCTCACTGGGTTTCAGTATCATGTTGACCGGCTCCAGGAAGTAGGTGTTTGCTTTGACATCATTCTGAAAACAGAAGAACACCTCTACCACCATTGGGGAATTGTTCAAGATCGTCAGCGTCTCCATGTTGCCTGGGAACAAGGATGACTTGTACCTGGGGATGAACGAGAATGGGGCTGTGGTCAATGAGGACTGAGTGAGGACGCAGGTGGAAAAAGAGGCTGTGATGTGCAATGTGATTTAAAGGACAGCGTGGCTGCACTGAGGTGGTGGCATGGTGGCTGAGAACATGAGGTTTGTGGTTGTGCTGTCTTGCCTCTGAGAGTAATGCTACACTGTGACCTGACTCCCCTATGCCTTGATCTCCTTATCTCTAAGATGGGATGATAGTACCTCTTAGGATTGCTGAGCATTGAGGTCATGCACCTGAAGCTCCTAGGACAGCTGCAGATAGCAAATGTCCAATGAATGGTAGTTATTGTTATTGTAAAGAATTCTAACTGAGAAATAAGCAGGTCTAGACTTCCATGTTCTTATATCCCCAGGAGAGATTATCATTTGATTATTTCACATCTGTCTTAGAGATGACCTCATTCACCACCTTCCACACCCTCACAGGATGTTACTGTTCTGAAATGGATTCATTTGGCCTTGTTCGCTGTTACAAGGCTGTCTCTGTTCCCTAGTACCTTAGGGAGAGATCTGCAGGGCAGAGCACTGTGGGCACTGGAAGATGCCCGTCAATGGCAACTGAACAGAAAAGGAGCCACAGAGAAGGCACAAGGAGCAAAGAGGCACATCATAGAGGCCAGGAAAGTGGAACCAGTCTGAAAAGCTTTTTGGACAGGCTACAATAGAGGACAGAAGGAGAGAGAATGACAGAGACCAAATCAGAGTCAGAGGGACAGAGAACTCCCTGCGTGCATGACTGCCAAAGGGGCAGTCATCCAACCCATATCACCACCATCCAACGCTGTGCTAGCGGTTTCACGTGCATTACCTAGTTCGGTCCTCACACATCTGCGAGGTGGATGTTATCTTCCCATTTTGCAGATGATGCCACTGAAGCTAATTAAGATTTGAAAGAATAAATGAATAATATCCAGTTGCACTGGGCCTTGTTTTGGATCGCTGTAGTCACCTTCCTCCTAGATCAGTGCTGTCTGGCCCTGCCTCCCGGTTAGTTCCAATGCTGCCCACACTCATGCCTCTCTGAATAGCCATCCCTGCCCTGACTCCCGCCCCAGACTGCTTTGAACATCATGTCCCTCAACCTGACCCTCACTCCTTCTCCTCCTAGGCCCTTCTACTAGGCCTCAAAGATGCTCTCCCTCATCAGCACACCCTCTTCACATTCTCGCTCTAGTCCAGCGTCTCAGGAGATAAAGTAGTGGTAATAAGGGGATGGAGGACAAGAGATGGCCCATGAGCTGCACCAAGGAAGCACAGAAAGAAACTCTCCCTTCATATCACAGTAAATGCTGGATTGAATAAAGATACGGTAGAGACTATGGTGCCAGTTTTGGTCTCACGTTCTGCCTGTACAATAAGAAATTTGTGTATCATTGAAAAAACTAGTTTCATTAAAAACATATGCCCATCAATCTCACCTGGGACCCCAATTCTGCCTGATAATCTTAATCATCTCTCTAATGTGATCCCTTTCCTAATTTCCCCCCGAACTGTTTTGCATACCTTCTCTGTTTCTCCAACATTTTTAACTTCCTCCATGTCCCTCACTCTTGGGGGAAGCTCACCCATCATTTGTCACAGAAGAAACAGACATAGTTGCATAGGAAACTCCTCACCATTCCAACCAAATCTCTAAGCCCACTGTCACTTGGAGCCATCTCGCCTTTCCCTGCCTTGGTATGCAAGGATGGCCCCTCCTCCTGGCAAAGGCCAGCATGCCTGCATCCACTTGCACTGTTCTCAGGGAACTACACCAGGGATGGCCCTTACTTCCTCCTGAAACTCCAACCTCTTCCTTCTACTTGTCCTTGACACACAAACATCCTAAGATCAACCGTATACGAAAAGCCTTCCCTGGACTCCATGTTTCCTTCCCATCTCTTTTCACAGCCAAACTTTTCCAAAGAGTTATCTTCACACCCTGTCTTTCCTTTCTCTTATCTCCCACTGAGTCCTCAACTCATTTTGCCTGGGCAAAGGATTCTTGCTAAGGCCCCTAGCGACCTCCATGTTCCTGAACCCTGTGGATGTCTGTGCCCCCATCTTTCTGCCCTCTGCAGCATTCAATGTAGCAACCATGCCCTCTTCTCATGGCTCCATGACCCACCCTTTCCTGGTTTCCCCCAATAGCTCTGACCCTCTTTCTCATCACCTTTCCTGGCTCTTCCTCTTGTGCATGGTGGAGTTTTCCAGGGCTCCATCTTTGGTCCTTCTCTTCTTACTGTATACAGTACTCTTAGATGATCTCATCTATACCCATGGCTTTTGTTGTCTTGAAGAGAGACCTCTCCTTTGAGAACCAAAACCACATAGCCTATTCCCTGCTTTATGTGGCTAATAGACATATCTCCAAACATCTCAAACTTAATACTTCCCGGAGTGAACTCTTGATGCTACTCTTCCGAAAGCCGGTCCTCTCCCAGGCTTTCCCATTTGGGAAAATGGCATCCCTCTTCATCTGGGTGCTTAGCAGAAACTTGGGACACAAGAATCCAGTTCTCCTAATTTGTAGTTTGGGGCTGAGGCTACCTCTACATACATAGGAACCCTACTTGTACTGTGCATGAGCCCAACCCAGGAGTATGCAATCTACTTTCAAATAATGGAACACTTACTTATCTCTTGATTTTCCACAAAGCAGTGGCCCGAAGTAATACCTCTCCATGCTGGTAATATACTTCTTAAAGATGACCTCATCTGCTTTCATGTTCGTCTTCCGCTGAGGGAATACCACTCTGAACACGGGGGAGGAAGAGATGAGGAGAGGCTGCCTAAATACAAGTGAAATGCTGCCACATGGTGTGTACATGAACCCAAAGGGTCAAGGTATCTGGAGACGGAATGACTCTTAATTTAAGGACGTCTGTTGAGACTTTATCCCAGCTCCCTGCCCTGCAACCCCTAGAAAAGATAGTATGGTTTTAATTTGAGAAAAAAGATTCCTAATGATGTCTTCCATAATAAGGACTGGTGAACTGGTGATGGAGCTGACTTGGATGTTCTTAGTGTGCCTGGCTGGAAAAATTCCCAAGAATCCCTACGAAAAACTAGCTCTGGCAGATATTAATAAGCTTCTGAGTTCCTTGGTCCAATGTGGCCCTCTCATGAGAATGATAGGAAAGCTCCTATTGGTGCTTTTTACAAGCTATAAAAGGCCCCTTTCTCCAGGGGGACCTACCCTGCTGGCTTGCTCAGCCCAGGTGCCTTTGTGTGATCCACAGCTGCACTCTGGAATTCAATAGCTCAGGAAAAAGTCTTCCCATGGAGAGTCACACATATATTCATGTTTTAAGATATACTTTAAATTTAAGCAATTTAAATGTGCTTAATAGGTAAGCAAACTAGCCAGAGGAAGATTTTTCCCTTCCTTCCACACCTATGATCATTCTCTCCATCCCAGTCTGGGAATGTCCCATGAGCCGTCATCCCTACGGCTCTTAGCCAATGTCCAAGACACTGAGGCAAGATACAACAAGAGGGCCAGGGATGCTGTCTTAATTCCACGTTATTATTAAGAGCCTCCCCTCAAAGTACTGGGGGAAAACTAAAATGTACCTATCAACCTTTTCTTTAAAAATAAAACACACTTACCTTGGGTCTTGGCAAATGTATGGGTAAGTGCAGACACCCCGGCAATACAGCTGGTACTGGCGGCGAGTTCCAAGGATCTCAAAGCTGAACGTTTGGTCAAAGTTCCCAGGATCCTCGGAGGAGAAGTGCACTCGCAAAGTCACCTCGCCATTGGCCGGCACAATCCACCGGAAGTTACTCAGCCTGCAAATGACCACCGGGCTTTTGGAGTGCGAGTGCTTCCTTCCAGCCAGGAGAAGACAGGAGGGCTGCCTGGGAGCAGTCCTGTCCCGCTGGGGTTAGGCGTGGTGGCCCACAGTTCCCGCAGCAGGACAGCCCTGGTCCCACGTGGTGTTGCGACAGCCACACCTGCAATTTGGGGCCCCAGCATCCCCCCTCTGGGTTGCTCAGAGGCCCACCTAGTGAATTTCTCCTGGGAGAGCTGCCCGTCGAGGCTGTTCTGGTCGACATCTGACAGCAGGGCAATGGTTCCGTCAATTCCCCCAGAAAGGCCCTTCCGGTTGACCGGCATGCGACGCTTGTCCTTTTGAGTATCGCGGGCTTGTTCAGGTTTTTCTTTTACTTTATGTTTGCTCCCTTTAAATGAGGTGGTCTGCTCCTCTTGAGCCTTCATTAAAAATGAGCATGAGGTCTTAAATATCCATCTTATGTACACACAAACAGAACACAGAGGTGCCTAGGGCAGAGCAGGGCCCAGCCTCCCGCTGTAGCGACATGAAGGCCAAAACCCCGGAGAAAGCTCGGAACTGGCAGGGCTCCCGGCAGTACCTACCTCCGCCAGCAGGGGCGCCTAGTTTTTTGGCGTCGCTAGTTACCCCTGCCCGCTTGTTCTCTACTTTCCAAAATTTTGTTGGCATATTCTGCTCATCATCGCCTCTCTCCCTTTCTCTTTGTTCTCAGGATTTATATATTTAAAAAACTTGCTGTTTTGGGAAGGAGTATAGATAAACATATGTGTTTGATCTGCCATGTTTACTAAGAAGTTCCCATTTTCATGTTTCCTGATTAAAATTTTTTTTCCTTTTGTGCCTTTTTATTTGTCATTTCCAACTTTTTATTTTGGAAAACCTTTGGAGCTGAAGGCCCAGTACAGTAAGGACTAGTGCTAACAGTTGTGACCATTTAGCCATATCTAGGTATCTTTTTTCCTTTAGAGCCATTTGAAGGTAGGTAGAGACAGGACGACTCTTTGCCTCTATATACCTGCATCTCCTCAAGGCAGGGACATTTTCCTGCACTCCCACGACACTATTATCACCTAAGAAAATGAACAATAATTCTATATCATTCTAGCACACAGTCTATATTAAAATTTTCCTATTTATCCCGATGTCTTTCATAGCCATTTTCCCCCAGATGAGTGTCTGATCAAGGTTCCTATATTGTGTTTTGTTGTTATATTTCTTTAGTATCTGTCAATCTAGATCCTCCCATCCCGTTCCAATCACGGTGACTTTCTGGAGAGATTAGATCTGAGTTCCTACAGAATATCCCATAGTCTGAATTTTTCTGACCCTTCTCACAGTGTCATTTAACATTCCTTTATTTTCTACAAACCAAAAATTAGGCTTAAAAGCTTGATTAGATTCACAGATGATGCCATGGGCTTCACACTCCATCACCGCAGGGAACAAGGAATGTTAGGTGGGACCGTGGTGGCAAAGGTCAAGCATGTTCACGTGGCCAGGGTAGTGCCACCAGACCCACCCAAGGTGAAGTGCTCTGTTCCCCTGCAGTTCGTCCGTCACCTATGGGATGGTGTCCTGGCTGGGGTGAGGGGACTTCTTCCCTCAAAACCTTTTACCTAGTGTATTTTGGCATCCATTGGTGATCCTTAATCAATTGTTTCACTTGGGGTAACAAAACAGTGATTTTCTAACTTTACTATTCATTCTATAACTTTAAGCTGCCATTCTTCTAGAATGCACAGCTTTCATTTGTCAGCTGGGGAAGAATTAAAGTTCCTCCTGAAATGATAGGTTAAAGAATGCTTAATTCTTTCTTTTTCATGGCCAATTTTCAGAATAAGGGGTCGGTGCAATAGTCATCTCCAATGACGGTGTCATTTTTTTCTTTTTATCTTTTTTATTTGAAATTTCACCAGGGACTCTGCTCTGGTGAGGTAAACCCACCAGATGCTGCTGACCTCAGATGTTGATTCCCTGTTTACATGTACAATGAAGTTTGGGGTAGTCTCTGTCACCTGTTGTGACAGGTGTAGGCAGGGCCTACCGGTGACTTTATTAGCTCTCTTTGCTGATGTGCATGGTTTGTGGGGGCTGCGTTAACAGACTCAAATTGTAGGCCACCAGTCTCCTCTGGGAATAAAAAGCCCCTCTATAATTTTTAAGATATATACTTTCTGCATATTATTGGTCAAATTTATTCTCCTTTATGATTTATTCTATTAATCATATATATTTTCTTCTATTTCTACATGATTTTATTTTGATTATTTGTATTTTTAATCTAGCTGGAATTTATTTTACTGTATTGTATCAGGCAAGGAGATAAAAAATGACTTTCCCCAACATATCCAATCTTTCCATCCTAATTCCTTTAGTAATCTATTTTTTCTCTTGTGGGATGTGTTCCCTTAACTTGCGTCTGCTGATTCTTGTGTTCTTATATACTGTTTGAATTGCCTTAGTTTCAAAATACATTTTATATCTTTTTAAAAGACCTAGTTTTCCTTCTTTTTTCTTGTAGTTTCAGAGTAATTTGACAAGTTCCCTAAACCCTCTCACAGGCACTGCAAAGTTTGGAAGGTGAGAATTGGTCATGTCAGTTTCCTCTCGAGAAGCAGGATAAGTCAGACCCGGGGAAGTGCAGCTTAGGCAAGCACATGCAGGGCTTCCGGCGGGATCTCCACCAAGTCAAGGGGAAACACGCCCCAGTGAGCACAACACCTCACACCACACTCAATTTGTGGCCATGTGGAAGGCGACCTTCTCTTCCCACCCTCCGAAATTCTGCTAAGGTCAAGAACATGCTGTTCACGCTTTACCTTCAGAGTGCTTGAGAACGCCAAATAGTCTGAGTCTGTTTCCATTTCTTTTTTTTCATCCAGTATGGACAGCTCGTCAGATGGGATCACAAACACAAAATGCTTCAGGACGTCTGTCGTGGCCAAAGGCAGCCGCTTTGCCGGGTAGGTGACGATTGAGAATAAGGTGGGAGGTGGGATGGGTGGCCCAGAGGAACCCATCCCCAAGGTGTCTAGGATCTAAAGGAAAGGGCCATTGTTAATTTCCTGTGCAAAATCCCTGTCTCTCTTATTAAAGCCTTTGTCACACTTTATCGTGATTGTTTATAGTCAGTCTTTGCAACTGGACTATAAACTCTGTTAGGACAGGAAACAGGTGCATATAGCACACAGCCTAGCACATAGTAAGCACTCAATAGATCTGTTTAATTTAAAAAGACCACCTCTTAAGGTTCTGATATCCACAGTATAGAGGTGTTCCATCTATTTTCAAATTCCATGTTAATTTTTCTTTTTGCTTTAAATGTTCTTTCCTTCCAAAGGTGAAAGAAAGGATGGGAGCAGGTCAAATATAGCACAGAAAAAAAATAAAGCAAAGGTTCTGGGAATGGGATAGAGAATGGGAATGGAGAGAAAAATCAAAGAAAGAAACTTGAGAGAGAGAAAATTTATTCTGCAGCATTCTCCCATGCTGCTGATACACCGGGCATGAGCAATTTCTGGAGAAAATGGGTTGAAAATTTAGTAGCAACTTCCTTCCCAGCATGTATGTAAAGATGCTCAGAATAAACACATTATCCCTAGAGTAACAGCTGTTATCGCAACAGTAAATGGTAAAGCCCATGAGTGTCCGCTCTGTGGACCACGGAGTCTGTTAGGTTTAGCAAGGAATTACCTCCCTCCATGTAATCCTGTTTCTCGTCCTGTGGGTCAGGGAGCTAAAGGTGTTTCCTGACTAATATGTGGCTGGAGTTAACTCTGTGAGGAGAGGCATGAAGAATTTGTACCAATTACTGAATGACCAGAGCCAGAGAGTTCTTCAAGCAACAGTCTAACCTATGACTTGGAAGGAAGAGAGTATAAAACAAGGAAAGAGGATGTTTTTGCTATAGTTCTTTTTCAAAAAACATATGTCTGAAAAAGAAATCACAGTTCCTTAGCTAGGGCTTGCCTGGGCGAAATCAGGAAATGAGCGGAGTGTCGTAGTGTCTTCTGTCTTCCCCACCTTTGGCGCCACTAGGGGCCACTACGGCAAGACTTACTGTGAGGCAGCATCGTGTGAAGGCTTCCTTGAGGGATGACTCTCATCCTCCCATCAACTCTAACTTGCTCGGTATCCTTCCCAGGCTCTATTCTCTACTTTTTAAGGCTTTCTTTTTCTTTCTTTCTTTCTTTTTTTTTTAATTTTAGAGACGGGGTCTTGCTCTGTCACCCCAGGCTTGAGTGCAGTGGCGCAATCATAGCTCACGGCAGCCTCAAATTCCTGGGCTCAAGTGATCCTCCTGCCTCAGCCTCCCAAAGTACTGGGATTCTAGGCGTGAGCCACTGCGCCTGGCCTGCACTTAGTTTCTGATTAAACCAAACCAGAGGGTGGCAAACTCTGCTTGTTGTTTTTGTAAATAAACTTGCACGGGAACACAGGCACGCCCGCTGGGTTACATATTGCTGGCGGTTGCTTTCACCCTCTGAAGCGAGAGTTGAGTAGTTGTGACAGAGACCATATGATCTGGAGCCTAAAATACTCACTTTCAGGTCCTTTACAGCAAAGCTTTGTCCCTGGACAGAAGAACAATAATAACCATCTCCTCCAAACTGCTTCCAAAGGTGGCTTTTGGATATGCAACCCTTTTGTTTATAGGTATGCGAAGCTACGTAATAGGGTAATTTCTGTCACTGTGTCTGGGAGGCTTGTGGGAAAAAGATTCTGGAGTGAGTGAGTGTCTCGATGCATCTGCTCTGCCATCCTGTAGCACTAATATTATCAATAGTTTTTTTTTCAGCACCAGAGTTTCAGAAACAATTATTGTCAATATTGTAATAAAAATCAACTGTACAGGTGGCTTTCTATGAGGTTAGATGGATAATTTAGATCTGTGGAACTTTCTATGGATTTTCTTTCACCAAGTAGAAAAAGGTCCCGTTAGCCATTATTGTCTCAGTTCTAAGAGGGCACCAGAGATGAATGGAATGGAGGGGATACAGGTTCTAGGTGGAGAGAAACACTTATGATAATCAGCGCAGCACCTGCTCCTCCCTGGAGGGGAGTCTGTACCTGATCCATCCTGGGAAGCCTGTCACTCTCCAGGGCCTGCTTCCAGCTCGAGCCTTCCAGGTCGGGCGTTTGGATGCTGAGGAAGGGCACGCCCAGGTCCTTCTTCCCTTCGTGGTCCTCCTCCCCTTCGCCCTCACCATCGCTCCGCTCCTCCAGGGCCCGCAGCTTCTCCAGGCGCTCCCTTTCCGCCTTCTCCCTCTCCAGGCGCTCCTTCTCCGCACGCTCCTTCTCCAGGCGCTCCCTCTCCCTGTCCTTGCGACCCCTGCGCCCACCCGAGGGGACCTGGCGCTGGTCCTCAGGCTCGTGGGGCGTTTCCTCCATCCCTCCGTGGGGCAGCTGAACTCCTTGCTTCCGGTCCCAGTACATGAGCACGCTCTGGACGTCTTTCAGACTCAACTCGTAGACCTTAAACTTCTGGGCCAGTTGCTTGTCGGTGTCCTTTGGGAAGTCCCCTTCACTGTCCTCTTGTTCCTGGGCCAGAGGAAAGCTAGACACGTTGATGTCGGCCATGTTCTTTCTTTTCTTGTTGACTTCTTCCTTCTCAGACATTGTTTGCTCCCTGACAGATACTTTCCTTTCCAATGCCTCTGTCTTGACATCTACTTTGCTGAAAGTAAGACCCTAGAAGGCAAAACACAGAAAATATACTTCAAACCGTTTATTTAAGGGGAAACAAACAGCATAAGGAACAGAAGGGAACAGTTCGTTCCATGAGAAGGCCTCCCAGGATTTATACACCTCTTATGCACACTGAGCTTGTCAGTGAGAATCACCTTGGGGGCTTTGATCTAAATATCCACTCCATGGCTCTTCCCTGTTACAGAGCTGGCTGGGTCCCGGCACTGCGTGTTTTGAAAAAGGTGCTGGAGTGATTTTGATGTGTACTTTTGGTTGAGCCGCTGTTTTCTGAAGGATCAAAGGGAAAAGACCAGCAAACATGAGCCTTCTGCACCTGCTTTCGGGTGCCCTGGGATAGGCCATAGAGCGGGTGGGTCTAATCCTAGCTGTTGATCCTGGGTGAGGACTTGGCCTCTCTCTGTCTCATCTGTATAATGAGACAGAGAGACTGATACTAATTACTTATAATTAGTAACAATTACCCCAGAGGACTGTTGAAGATTAAATGTGTGAATACATGTAAAAAGCTTACAACTGTGCCTGCTTTGGAGTAAGGGTTCTATTAGTGTGAAGTTATTAAAACCACACAGGTTTTGTGTGTGACTGGTATTGTTGGGGACAAACAGGAGTTTAGAATCAGTTTGCATCTCAGGCTTTTTGAAAATATGTATTTATTTAATGAACTGGGCATAGAGAAACCAACTTTGTTCTTTTTCTTACTGCCCTTTTAAACTTGCTTTATGGGCTCTGATTTTCTCCTCCCCTGGATGAAATCCTAGTTTTTTGGGTCATTCTTTGATGACACAGAGTCCGGTTCAGTGCAGTGACCTTCCTGAGTTTAGGCCTGCTTCAGGCTTGGAGGCATTAGTGACCAGGCGCTGGTTTTTCCCCTATCCCGCCGTTCCTCCTGTTATTCCAATTCCCCATCTCCAACACAGCCTGGAGAGGGAGCAGTAGGAGAGGCTGCCACCACTGTCTCATGGAGGAGCTCTAACACATTACCTCAGCTCGTGTGGGGAGGGAAGGGACTTCGCTCCTACTGTTCTGCTCTTGGTCTGGAGAGCCAGTGCCAAGATACCCGGGTTTGCATGGAAGGGAGGGCCCAGCGAGGGAAGGACTTGTACTTGGTGGATTGTGGGAGCCCAGCATAGAGCAGCTGCAAGCTGACTACGAATTACTAAGAATACAGAAGATTTTAACAACATGGTTAATGACCTTGAGTGAACAGATGCAGAAAAAAAATACACATACTATTCAAACACGTGTGGAACATTTACAGAAACTAATGACATATGAGGCCAGACAGCAAGGCTTGACAGATGCGAAGGATCAACACGACATAGAACATACCCTGGGAAGGTAGTATTCTAAAATCAGAATTCAAAAAAAGACAGCCAAAATGAAGTCATTCATTTGGAAATTAGAAAATGCACTTTGAAATAATTCATGGGTTAAAGAGGCAGCCATAAAGGATAGTAGAAAATGTTTAGAATTGAACAACAATGAAAATATTGAATATCAGCAATCAGGAAATATATCTAATGTTTACAAATGTATATATCTACAAATGCTTTTATAACTTTTAATACATTGGAAAAGAAAAACAATTGACAATAAGATTAACATCCACTTTAAGAAGTTAGAAAAAGAACAGAAGAAAAACATAAAGAAAGTAGAAAGAAGGAAATTATAAAAAGATGGGAACAGAAACTAATTAGATGGCCATAACAATAGATACAGAAGAGAATAAAAAGATGGTAAGATAATGCCATGAATTACCTTATGCCAATAAATCTGAAAATATGATAAAATGGATACTTTTTAAGAAAACCATGAATGCCAAATTTACTCGGAAAGCAAAAGAAAGGCTAAATAAATTTTTAATCCTAAAACAAGTTGATTCAATAATATATTAATAATGTGTAACATACCACATGATCTGATTGAAGAAGGAAAATAAACACAATCATGTCAACAGATTCAAGAAAAATCATGTGATATAATTCAACACCCACAAGTAGGAAATCTGTACAAAAGATGTAAAAATCTTGTGTCTGAAAGCACTGGACAGCCACAGAGGCAGCAGTGAGTTGCAGGCTGGGATGTGGAAGAGGAGGGAAATACAGGGGGTGGGCCCAGCATGTGGGGCTGCTTTCCCCGCGAGGGCACTTGTAGCTGAAAGTGTGGCTGAGAAGCTGAGCAAAGCTTTTGGCAGACTCGTGGGGCTGCGGTTCAACAATCAGGCTTCAGGCCTGCCCAGGAAAAGAGGTCCTGGTAAATTTCCTAGCCTTTGGGTTAGGACTCTGAAAGGCTCCATGTTAGGAGCGAGGGTCAACCTGAAATAGCCTAACCCTCCCAGGGAAGGAAGCTCAGTTTTAAATCATCCCAATCCTGACTGAATTAAGATTTCTAGTGCTCCTACCCTATCCGTCTGCCAGAATCAAACAGGGATTCTCCGAGGAGGGAGATAACATTATCTAGAGCCTCAAATTATTTCTTTAGTTTTTCCTGTTCAATATCTGGCCCTTGATAAAAAGTAACCTGGCACCTAAAAAGACAAGACCATGTGACCATAAACCAAGAGCAAAAGACACAACAGACCAGACTGCCAGGGAGCCATGTATTGGCACTATCAGACAAGGACTTTAAAAAGATATGCTTAGGCCGGGCGCGGTGGCTCACGCCTGTAATCCTAGCACTCTGGGAGGCCGAGGTGGGCGGATTGCTTGAGCTCAGGAGTTTGAGACCAGCCTGAGCAAGAGCGAGACCCTGTCTCTACTAAAAATGAAAAATGGAAAGAAATTGGCCAAACAACTAAAAATAGAAAAAATTAGCCGGGCATGGTGGCGCATGCCTGTAGTCCCAGCTACTCGGGAGACTGAGGCAGGGGGATCGCTTGAGCTCAGGAGTTTGAGGTTGCTGTGAGCTAGGCTGATGCCACGGCACTCTAGCCAGGGCAACACAGTGAGACTCTGTCTCAATAAAAAAAAAAAAAAATATGCTTACTATGTTGGGGGAATGAAAAGGTAATCGAGAAGTGAGAATTTTAAGAATTAGTGACTTTCTAATGCAATAACAAAACAACACGCATGTCAGGCCTGGAAAGGGATTTGAGGGCGTGGTGGAGACAGAGGTCAGGTTGGAGAAGGGGAGGTGAGGGCAGAGCCAGCGAGTAGGGACCAGCGTGAAGGGGAGGAGAGAAGCAGGGTGCTGGTCAGGGGGCACACGCGTGGAAGGTGAGTGAGTGATTCTGGAGAACACCTTAAAAGTCACAGGCTTGGAGGAGAAAGATTGCGGCCAGCACAGAGGGAGAGAGCAGACATGGGGCAACCCTTTTGATGAGGAAGCAGGAAAGCCTTCAGTCCTTGCCTTTCACCTTGGCACTCCCCTGGAATTTTCTTTCTCTTCCTGAAAACATACCTAGTCTCAGCAGTTCTTCTTGAGCCAGAGAGCTTTCAGCCTAGTCAACTGCATTAGTACAAGAAGAGTCTCAAGAAATCCCCACTCCCAGGGAACACGACTGATTGTGTTTTGTGCTAAACTCAAATGATACACAAGCTTGTCCCCAAATGGACAACATGATACTGCCCCTATCACCCTGCCCAAGGTCAACAGAGCATGCACAAAGGTACTTGCCCTGTGTGTGGTAGTGGGGACGGGGACTTGGTGGTGGCGCTCAAGTCACAGCAACTTGAGCTGAGGGTAAAATAGGGGAAATCCACAAACTCCACTTAAAAGTTCCTACAGATTCTGGCTGGAGACTCCGATGAAGTCAGTGGGTGTAATTTGAGGTCAACTGTGCTCCAAATAGTCTTTCTTTCAAAGATGAATGAAGTGTTGTCTTTTAAAAGCAAGTTTGGGAAGATAACTTCTGCACAGATTATTCTGAACTTGTTCTAAATAAGAATTTGACTTTTTTAGTTGCAAAAAGAATGGCTGAAACACACAGTTACTCAAATTCTCCCTCCTGGCCCGAGGAACAAAACCACCCAGGAGAGGTGGAAAGATAGGGTCAGTCCTTGTAGCTCTCTCCTGGGGACTCCCTTTTGCTCTCAGCCTGAAATGTCACATACTGCCTTCAGGTAAGCAGCATCGAGCATCTCGAACCTGTGCCCAGCTCTGTAAGCCCATCCTCCTTGAGCTCACCCCAACTGACACCCCTGCACGCTGATTCCTCTCCCCTGATGTGGGCCTGGCCACTGTCCCTGCCTCTCACTCGCCTACCTGGACCCGTCTGCGCCTTTTCTGGGAGTCTGGCTTTGGCTGCACCCTCAGGACTCATGGTGCTGAAACAGCGACTGTCCACGCCAATTAGTCACACCCCTCAGCCACAATCACCACTGTGGGGGCTCCTCTAGCCATTCTGCCCTTCCCGTGTCACAGTGGGCAGGGAGGTGACTGCTAAGCATGGCAGGCTGATAAACTATTGGCACTTGTCTGCAAAGATAAGCTTATGGTGGTATATCTTTCTTGATGGTTGTCAAGGGTATGCTCTTGATTGAACATGGGGGCTCGCCGGCTCGGTGCCCTCCTGGAGGCGAATCTCTAGCATGAGCCTTTTCAGCACCACCCCGGGGCCTGCAGGTGCAGTGGGAGCGGCTGTGGTCACGTATAGCTGGAACTGCGACATTGTCTCTGAACCCCGCAGGGTGGGGGATGCCAGAACGGCATGATTATGTGTAGTGCGAGCACAGCGCTTGGCATACAATCTGCGTTCAACAAATGTTGTTGTCTTTCCTCCTCCCTTCTGCCCTAACACAAAATCCCAACAGGTGATTTTCTGGAATGGGGACATGCCGGGCTGACTGGCTGGTTATGACGGCTGCCCTCCGCCTGTTTCCCGGTGAGGGGCAAGTGAGGGTCGCTACCTGCTTGCCTGCTGCTTGAGATTTCTTCAGGGGGGGTTCCTCCTTTACGGGTCCCTGCTTTGGCTTTTTATTCTTCCGTCTCAGCTCATCTTCCTCCTTTTGTCGCTCGAGCTCCTGCTGTAGCTTCTTTTCGTGCATCTCCCTGGCCAGCCTCTCCAGCTCCCTTCAGCAAAGCAGGCAGAGAGGAGAGATGTCAGGGACCTTGAGTTTGAGCCCTTCCTCCGCCCAGGATTGCCAGGTGGAGGGACATCGGGCAGAGCTTTCTTGCATATAAAAAGAAAGAACAAAAGCAAGCTGGGTAAGAAGGATGGAAAGAAGGAAAGAAAGAGAGAAAAATGGCTCCTATTTATCTTGGAGTGATCATTCAGCAAAACTCTGGTTAAACGGAAACTCAACTAGGAGGAATGCTCCGTGGATCTGTATTTCTATCCCACTCTCCTTTCATATGAGAGTGAGAAAAGGCTGAAAATAAACTTGATGTTAGCACTTAAAAACATTTTTTCAGAGATTGTTTTGGTATTAGTGCAGATGAGACCCAGCCCCCACACTGTCATGGCTGATGTTCAGACGATGAGAAGTGGTGTTTGTAACAGAGGTCCCCGTCGTGGCTGGCTCTGGAGCCACGCGCTGGGTCTGAATCTACGCTCCTCTCCTCCTCCCTCTTTCCCTTTCTGCTGTCATTCAGCCGTGCCTGTCCCTGCTGCTGACAGCAGAGAGGGCACGAAAGGCAGGCACCACGCACAAAGGAGTCAGGGAATAGCACTTCTGAAAATGGTTAAGCCATCTACCCTCATCTCCAGGGTCTCTAATTGTTCCCGGTTGCTGTGGCTCTCTGCCCACAGAGGCCAACTCATCATCCATCATGGAGTGTGTGTGGGGGGGATGTGTGTGTGTGCGTGTGTTTGAGTGACACAGACAAGTCACTGCTGCTCTCTGAGGATCGAATTTGCGTTTTCCAAGTCCACCGTGAGATGAATGCCTGAAAAGCAACAGGCTTGGTGAGAAGAAGAGTTTCCTTTGGAATTCCAAAGCCAGGCTCTTCCTCACTCTGGGAGCTAAACATTTCTACAATGGACCGTGTGTGAGAAAGGATGAGGGCATACTGTAGGGGCAGGGAGGACAGTAGAGCTCTTTTGGGGCCAGTGGAGGAGTCTGGAGGCAGCGGGAGAGGCGAGAAGAGGGTTAAATTGTAGGTGAGTACCTTGGCTCTGCCCCTCCAGTGTCTGAAATCCTAGGGAGGGGGTGGGCAACAGAACCACTGTCCCCTTGCCCCCACAATGTCTGAAGGTCTCAGGGCAGAAAGGACATTTGTCCCTCTGCCTACCTGTACCCCTGAGATCACTGAGATGGCAGCCCTAGTCTCCTGGGCTCTATGTGGTGTGGAGGGATCCAGGCATTTCTGTGTGGTTCCCAGTGAGGGGCACAGAAAGTGGCTGAGACTGTTGGCTTGTGAGCATGCCTGGGCTCAGGATGCCATGGGAGAGGCAGCCAGACCTCAGAGGATGGGTGGCAGCACAAAAGGCCAAGATGGGGACCCAGGAAGGAGGAGAAATGGCTGAGGTCTAAGGGGCAACCACCATACCCATGTCAAAAGGGTGGACTCTTGGTCACTGGCTGTGGACACCGAAGCAGAGAGGCACACGAGCCACACCTTGGGTGCACTTGTCAGGGGAGCCTGCGGGGGCCTCAGGACAGCACGGGAGTCAGAAGCCCCTCTCCCAGGGCCAGCCATGACTTTACAGAAGCATCCCCTGGTCCCAAATGCCCCCCAGAGAGAAGGAAGAAGAGTGGAAGAAACCCTGAAAGGTGCAGCACCCAGTGCCCTGGATGGGCAAGATGTGTCTTCCCGCTCTCAGCAGGTCATCTTCCAGGGCCTTCTGCGGCTACTGCTGCCCTCCTGGAAGATGACCCGGCCCCACCGCACCAATCCTGGTTTCCCTACTCGGTTCCTCCCTGGGAAATGGCTCCTGCTCTGGCCAACCCTTGGTCCCAACCTCTTCTTCCTTTCCCGCAGCGCCTGCTGAACCTCTCGGTCAAATATGATTTTCTCCTCCTCTGTCAAGGCGTCATACTCTTCCTCATCCATATTTTGGAGACGCTCCTTCTCTTTCTGCAGAGCTTCCCTGCGTTTGAGTTCTGTGGGGAGCAGAGACGGGCAAGTGAGGAAGAGTCCTTGGGCTGCTCAGCTCTTGGCTGAACAGGCTGAGGAGGGTCCCCTGGGAGAGGTGGCTGGGAGCGGTTGGCTTGCCTAATCCTGGGGGGATCTCCTTCATTTACACAGCCCCGCGCTGGGGCTCCATCTAGGTCTTCTGCAGCATGGCCCCGGAAGGTGCCCTTGCCCTCATCCACGGAACCTGTGACTATGGCACCTTCTACGGCAGACGGATTCTGCAATGCGACTGAACGCAGGATCTGGCTGGGGGAGATTATCTGGATTACCTAGGTGGGCCCAGTCTGATGGCAAGCGTCCTTAGGAGCGAAGCAGGGGAGTCAGTCGGCGAAGGCAATGTGACAGTGGAAGCAGAGGGCGATGTGACAGCGGAAGCAGAGGGCGATGTGACAGCGGAAGCAGAGGCCAGGAGCCAAGGAATGCAGGTGGCCTCTGCATGCTGGAAAAGGCAAGGAAAAGGACTCTCCCCTGCAGCGTCCCAGAAACACAGCCCTGCTAACACCTTGATTTGGGACTTCCGACCCCAGAACTGTAAGACAATAAGTCTGTGCTGTTTTAAGTCACCAAGTTGGTGGTTGCTATGGTCTGAATGTTTGTGTCCCGCCTCCCGATTCGCATGTTGAAACTGAATCCTCAGTGCTGTAGTATGAAGAGGCGGGGCCTTTAGGAGGTGATTAGGTCATTAGGGCAGAGCCCTCATGAATGGGATTAGTGTCCTTATAAAGGAGGCCTGAGGAAGCTTGTTTGCCCTGTTCTCCAGGAGAGGACTCAGTGAGGGCTCACTTTCTATGGCCAGAAGATGGCCCTCAGGAGACACGGAATCTGTCAGCACCTTGATCTTGGACTTCCTCGCCTCCAGAACTATGAGAAGTAAATTTCTATTGTTTATAAGCTACCTAGTCTGTGGTATTTCGTTATAGCAGCCTGAATGGACTAAGACAGTGGTCATTTGTCACAGCAGTGACAGGAAACTAATATACCAGCCATTGACTTTAGCCATTATAAGCAAATGCCACTAAAGTGCTCATGGTGACAGAGCCATTTGCAAACCAAGGGGAATCTCCCTCGACACCCTACGGATTCCAGGTCCAGGCATGGGGCTCGCACTCGGGACAAAGGCACGTGGCTTCCTCATCACACCTCCCTGGTACAGCGTCTCACCATACATCCCTGTAGGTTGGAGCTGTGGACTCAGACACCTGCATTCGAGGTCTTTCTCTGCCACTCATCAAGAGATAATCACAGAAAGGAATAATAATTCCTCACGCTGTTATAGGACCTTTCCAGATGTAGATGATTTAGGAGAGAGGAGCCCATAATTGAACCATGAGAAACTTCAATCCAAAGATAGGTGTGAAAATGAAAAGTGATAATTTCTTTCAAGGTGATCGTTATGGAGAAATGAACTTTCTAGAAAACTAGGAAGCTGGAGGTTTAAACACTGACAAGGGGCCTGGTCATCGTTCCTGGGTTTTCTCTGGATGAGAGTATAAGGAAGCAGACTTTTTAGTCCTGCTCAAGAACCGAGAGAGCCCAGTGTCTATAACCATTTCCTTAATTGGGAAAACATTATGATTTGTGTAGATTGTGCTAGAAGAGAGGCAAGCCCAAGTGAGGAAGGGCAAGAGTATGGCTGGAGCTGAGGCTTCTCGGAGCCAGGGCGGTGCCTTCCAGAGACAGCGTAACTAGCAGCTGTCCCTCAACCCCTCCCCCAGGGGCCGAGATTTGCTGTGGCGGCTTCTGACTACACTGGGAACTTCAGCTAACATTACTCGTTTGTGTGTGTGTGTGTGTGTGTGTGTGTGTGTGTGTGTGTGTGTGTGTACACCTACTTTTCAATCACATCTTTCAGTTATTGAAAATTTTCTCCAGGCCATTGTTGTAATGACAGAAGCAGCCCAGGTTTCAGAGTCACTCAGAGCTAGTTCTACTACTAATTTGCAACAGGATCTTACACAAGACTGTTGCTATCTCTGAACTGCATTTTCCTCATCTGTAAAATGGGGACAATAATCTTCACAGGGTTATGGTGAGGATTGGGTGACCCAAGGTGTACAAAATGTCTGCGATAGTGCCTGCAGCACAGCAGGCTAAGGTGTAGAAGTTGTTTTGGAAAATGTATCAGCACCTCTAGTTTTGCAGGAAATGCACAGTGGGCTCAAAGAAAACCGACAAACGAATCAGTCCCCTGAGTCAGAATGGGCCCTGTGACAGTCGTGATTACAGAGAGGAGGAAGGGGTGCAATGTGATATGAAGGAAGGAAGAATGGCAGCTGTCAGCAGAGCTGGATGCAGCCTTCGTCATATAACCTCTCAACAGGCCGCCTGCGGCCCAGTTCCCTCCCAGGAAAGTAGAAATACGAACTCTTGGCCACTCCACAGGGCAGAGGTGAGGCGCCAATGAAATAGCAAATGTCACAGTTTCATTTGAGCCCAGTGAAAAGCCAAATGCCCTGTTTAAAGAAAAGCCCTGTTGTGGCTTGGGAGGGACAGCCCAGGAAGGAATGGGGCCTTGCCTTCTTGCTCCTTTTTGGCTTTCTCCTGGGCCTTCATGGTGGCATAATCTTGGGCCATGTTGAGGACATATATGTGCTCCCGGCTGCCAAAGGCCTTCAGCAGGCAGAGGAGGGCGGCAGTCGTGCTCCGAGCAAACAGTGTTTCGAGGCCATCGAACACCACTCCTTGGTAGCAGTCACTCAGCTGAAAGCAGAGAGAGCAAAGACAGTTACCATGGCCACGAGATCATTCGCTCTCTAAGGAGAAAGCTGTTTGTTTAGCTGGCGCTTTTACTGGGGTTGCAGTGGGTTCTGCAGACCTACTGCGCCCCGATGAAAACACCATTACACTGTCCCTCTGCTTGCTAAATTCAAGGTGCTGTGATAATATTCCTCTACTTTGGGAAACCTCAAAATATAACCTAATTTTGTTATATTTAAACTGATAAGAACAGATACTACACTTGATCTTAGCCAAAAGGCCAAGAAGCAATAATTTTGTTATATTTAAATGTGCAATTAATATTGCGGCCTGGTTTGAAAAACCAAAGCAAACACACAACTCCAGGATCTGGTGAGCAATTTAGCTCTGTCTGTAACCCGTGAACAGCAAACAGGCTTAAGTGATACCCTCTCAAATCCTGATGATCTCTCTTTTCTTTAACTGCAGAACATTTGGGGGGCAGGGCAGGGAGGACATGAAACAGTGTTATTATTTTTCTGACTTTAGAAGCAGTATGTCATTGGAAAATAATTCAGAAATGCATAAAGAAGACTAAAAATCTGTAATCCTGCTACCCAAAGATAACCATAGTTAACATGTACTTTAAGAGTATGTGATACACATTTATAACTATATATATATAAATGTTATTGTACTTTACCTACTATTTCCTAATCTACTTTTTTTTCACTTAATAATATATTAAAAATTTTTTTTTTTTTTTTAGAGACAGGGTCTCGCCCATCGCTCAGGCTGGAGTGTAGCTGCAGCCTCGAACGCCAGGCTCAGAGGATCCTCCTGCCTCAGTCTCTTGAGTAGCCAGGATTACAGGCACGTGCTACCATACCTGAGTAGTTTTTAAATTCGTTTGAGACAGGGTCTTGCTATGTTGCCCAGGCTGATCTAGAACTCCTGGCCTTAAGTGATCCTCTTGCCTCAGCCTCCCAAAGTACTGGGATTACAGGTGTGAGCCATGGTGTCTGGCCTGAAAACATATTTTTACAGCAATTAAGACAGCTCCAAATTCTAACTTTAATGTCTCCACATTATAATTTTTAACATACCACTCTGTATTTTTTTATTTTTTTATTTTTTTGTTTTTGTGTAGTCTTCTATTCTCTGGTCCTTTAAGGAGGTGAGTGGCTTCAGGCTATAGACTAGGCCAGGATCAGGGACTGACAAAAGCTGTCAAAAACACAAGTAAATGACTATTGGGGGTGAAGAAACCCATCTCTCCTCTTCAAGACCCTGGGTTCTGAGCTGCTGTGGGTGGCCAATGGCCCAGAACCTCTCACAGAATGGGGACAGTGTGACAGAATGGGGACAGTGTGTGAGTGCCGTCCTGCAACAACGAGCCGGTGGGCGTGGACGCACCTGCATCCGCTCTGCCAGGATCTGCACGAGAAGTTCATCAGGCAGCACGCAGCTCATGAGCCCGGTCTCCCCTCCGATACTGGCACTGACACTGAGCCGGCGCTGGGTGGGCCCCATGGGGAGGGGGCTGGAGGAAATCTGCCGAGGGGGAGAAGGATCAGGGCTCAGAATCCAGCTGTCTCTCAACAGCTCCTATACCTACCAGCCATGTGACCCGGGATAACCATACAATCTCTCTTGGGCCTCCTTTCCTCATCTTTTAGGTGGGGATTGCACTGTATAATGGAAGAAGGAAGGTACTTTGTGTATGTACTGAACTACACACAGCTTCTCATTCATTCAACAAACATTCATTGAGCATCTACGTGCACCAGGCACCCCTCAGGTACTAAGGATGTACACCAACAAACAAGGCTGACAACAGCGCAGCCCCTCAGGCCCTTACCTTCTAACAGGGGAGAGAGAAAAGGCTTTCCTATACCAATCAGTGGTATAATTTTGATAGCGATGACTGCCAGGGAGGAAATAACCAGGTAAGGGAATAAAGAACAATGATTGGGCGGGCAGTGGCTCTGTAGAGGATGATCACGTTACCTGGGTAACGTGAAAGAATGAGACGAGACCTTGGGAGAAGAGCTTCTCTGAGAGGACAGCAAGCTCCCCCCGCACAAGTGTGCCTGGGATATTTGGAGAGTGCACAGGAGCCCATTGTGGCTGGAACTGAGTGAGCAATGGATGGGCAGGACGGTTGGGCTGAAAGTCTAAGACACAGTCAGGGCCAGAAAACGCAGGGCCTTGTAGGCCATGGTAAGGAATTTGTATGTTATTCCAAATATTAAGGGAAGTTGTTAGTGTGTTTCGGGCACACAAATGATATGATTTGTAGTTTTAAAAGACCACTGTTCCTGCTATATGAGGTGACGAGAGTGGAAGCAGGAAGACTAGTTGGAAGGACATCTCTGTGGTCAAGGCAAGAGAGGTTGCCACAGGGATGAGGGTGGTGGTAGGGCGCAGTGGCTGATGCCGGATACATTTCGGAAGTAGGGCCAGTAGGACGTGGGATGGAATGTACAGAAAGAGGCATCAAAAGTGATCCCTTGAGTTTTGACCTGAGCAACTTGGAAAATGCCGCAATTATTTACTAAGAAAGGAAAGACTGAGGGGAGAACGCTTTTTTTTATGGGGGGAAGCAAGAATCACTTTTTGGGTATATAAATTTTGAGATGCCTCTAAGCCATTCAAAAGAGATATTGGGAATGAATTTGGATATAGGAATCTGTGCTTGGGAAGAACTAGGGCTGGAGTTAGAAATGCGAGGGTCATAAGTATGTCGAAAACATTTAAGTTTTGAAGTATTTAAGCAATGCAACTGGGTGAGATCACCTAGGAAGAAAATGTAGATAATAAAAAGAAGACAGTAGTATAAGACTTCGTTCTGGGGTTCTCCAACCACAGGAATTTGGAGAAGATGGAGAAACTGGAAAAGGAGAGGAAGGAGTTGCTAATGAGGTGGAATGGAAAGCAGAAGGGGGTGGCATCTGAAAGCCACATGAAGAAAGCATTTCCAGGAAGAGGGCGTGATAAGCTGCCAAAAGGTTGTGTGGATGAGGACAGAAAACTGACCACTGGGTTTGGCAAGATGAAGGTGGCCGATGACCTTGAGAAGAGCAGCCAGCTTAGAGGTGAGGACAAAGGCCCCATGCAATTGGTGGAAGAGAGGATGGGGAGGGGGTGAGGATGAGGAGGCAGTCACGACAGCAATTCTTTGGGGGAACAGTAGTGAAGTGGAGCCAAGAGAGGAGCTAATAGCTGGAGGGGGCAGTGGGTCACGGGAAAGTGTTTTTAACATAATACAGCATGTACAGATGCCCACGGGAAGGATGCAGCTGATGGGGGAAAATGGGGCACAAGGGACAATTGTAGGAATTTAGCCCTTGAGTAAGAAAAAGGGTGGGGGCTAGTGCCCACGTGGGGTGGGCTCAGCCCTGGGTGAGGGCAGGGGCAGCACTCAGTGCTGGCTGGCTGGGAGATCTGGTGGTGGGAGGATGAGGTGGTTGTGTCCTGACACTGCTGCTTCTTCCATGAGATCAGAAGAGAGAGAATGCGGAAGAGAAAAGTGTCTTAGAGGTCAGGAGAGTGATGAGAGCAATTAAACCATCATCTTGCCTAGATGGCAGGCAAACTTACTGGGGCCGACCAAAGGGTCTGCTTGAGATTTGTGGTCTTAAATTTAAATTAAGACCATTCAGGAGAGATGAGTATCTTCCCCAGCTATGTCCAGCTGCTCTGTATGGGGCAGGTGGGGAATTGGGTTTACCAGGGCTGAAGCTCTGCCTGGAGAGTATAAACAAGGGGAGGGCGCAAGAAGGGAATGAGGGGGTAGGCAGCAGTGAGGATGTGGATTGTAAGTTTTGATGGGGCCGATCACTTGCCTGAGTAAGTCATCTGGAAAGTTAGAAGACGGTTGTCAGAAAGCAGGATGTGTGAAAGAGAGATTGTGGAATTCATGAGTAATGATGAACAATGTCTAGGACATGGTCATAGCAGTGAGTAGTTAAGGAGGCCATGGATTGAGAAATAAAAGTGTTGAATTAAATATTATTTAAAGGGTCAGGATTTCTAACTGGTGCTTTCTTGGAAAAAGGTGATTTATAAGTAAATGACCTTATTTTACAGGCCATATCTTCCTTATATAACTATCACATGTTTTTTCCCATTTGCAACATAACTAAATTTTCAGCCGTTGGAGAATTCGTACATTATGAGCGCTTCAACAAGACCAAACATCTGTCTGGGTAACACTTTGACAGGGCTACTGTGTTGTCCAGACCACTTGGGTCCTGTCCCACTGGGGCAGGTAGCCATACACGGGGGTCTGTGAGCTCTCATGTCTACTGGGATCTTTAAGTAGATCCCTATTTATTGAAAGGAGTTTGGAGTCAGAATTGGGATATTCTGCTGCATTTGAAGAATTCTAAAAAACCTTCCTTTCTGTCCAAATGGACAGAACAAAACCAAAGGAAATGACTCCCCATAACACCCTATTTGGTAAAAAATATATGAGTTTTAGTTCATCCATAAACATCTATGTAAAGAGTAGCATGTTAGATCCTGAAAAAAAGGGTTAAAAGGATGGTACTCCGAAAGAAAATGAGTCATTGGTTTCCGTTTTCAAGCTGTTAGAAGAATGTAAGACTGAAGCGGAGATCAGAGACAACATGTGGCATGAATTCAGCCCCGGTAGATGCTCCATCTAACCTGCAGTTCTCTTCTCCTCTGAAGACTTTGACCTCTGTACCATCCACTTGCCCCATCTAACATGTGGGCCTCCTCTCCCACAAGGGTCTAAATATTCCACCTACCTGCCCCATCCAATTCACAGGTCTCCTTTCCTGTGAAGAACTATGGCTCCAGTCCACCCATCTGCCCCATCCAATGCACCGGCCTCCTCTCCTTCAAGGACCTTCACCTCTGCTCCATCCACCTCTGCCACTGCCCCTACAGCACTCTTCCTGTTTCTCCCATTCTACTATGTCCTCTTTTTAATTCCTTCTCTACCTAGGGTGGGCTTCCCATACTGATGCCATCCTCAACTCCCTTGCCCCTAGTTCTGGGCACATCCCCTCCCCTTCAGAGACAACAACTTCTCTCTTCACCTCTGAATGAGAGCTGCCAGGGGCCACTTCGAGAAATCTTAGTTTTCAGGTTTCCAGTCTTAGTTGGGCCATCATCATTCTCAACTATTTTGTCTTTGTCCATCACCAATTTCTGGTTCTATTCATCACAGTGGAGACATCAGTGCTTTGCCACTCTCCTCAAGCATGCTCTGCAACCCCAACCTCCTTATTGCTCCCACAAAAGACCATGCCTCCTGCACATATCATAGAGCCAGGGAACAAGGTCTTCTTCAATCTCCATTCTCCACCCTGCTTCTCCCACCCTTAGCTGTATCTGTTTTTACCTTGACTGAAGGAAGCTGTCTCCCTTCTCCTTTGACTGTCCTTGACCCTGCCCTGCCTACCTCTTTCCAGAATCTCAGTCACTGTTGGGTGGCTCATCACCTTCTACTCCTCCAGGAGCACCATTCTTTATCGACCTGCTTGTGCTTCTACCTCCTTTCTAAGAATAGACTCTCTTGATGCTGGGGTTTTCCCTCTTACTACTACTCTTTTTTTCCCTTCTCCTTCAAACATCTTAAAAGCCTGCACTGACTAGATTCCACTTTTCCACCTACAACTCATTACTCACCTTTCCCCACTGTCTCTGGCTTCAGCATCTGCTAGTCTGCTGGGATTTCTAAATCCCTTCACATGCTGCTCAAACTCTGTGACTTCCAACTTTCCCAGACTCCCCGGGCAGCCCTCCCACAACTTATATCAACGATTCCATCCTTAACATTCCTTAAGTATTAGGTTGAGCTATATAGGAAATTGCTGCTACGGAGTTACAAAATGGTTGAATTTCGGCAATTTTCTACGGCTCAATCTAATTCCTTTTACACATCTCTTTTGTTACTAATTTCATTTTGTTGCAAATATTTGCAAGTGTGGTTATCTCCTTCATCAGACTCTCAGTGCAGCTTGAGTGCAGGAATTTTGCCTTCTTTATCTTCACTTTGAAAGCACCCAACCCAGTGCCTGTAACACAAAAGGAGCTTGCTGAGCGCCGGCTGAGTGAACACTCCTGTCAGGAGTGGTGCAGGGACAGTGCTCAGGCCCACCTGGCAAGGACACCTGTAGGAATGAAGGGCACTGGCCTGGCTGCAGGATGCTGAGAAGGAGGAAGGATCCCAACCCTCCTGCTGGAGAGCCCTGATTTGTACCTGTGGCGTTTCAGACTGGTGCTGGTGATGCTGCTTCTGTGACCCAGAGCTGTGGCTGTCCGCTTTGCTTTTGGTGATCAACATGCTCCCACGAATGCTCTTTCCAGATTTACTGTCTGGGGCCACCAGAGACATTTCCGAGGTTAACTTGCCCAAGATCTCAGTGCTCAGTCGTACTGATCCTATGACATTTTGGCCTCCAGAAGCCTCCTGGGCTACAAGAAGAGGGTGAGTTTTTACTAAAAGTCACCTAAGGATGATAAAAAAATGACAGTGGGGATGGCACACTGCAGCCCCGTGGGATTCTCTTCAGGAACACAAAGCCATCTCCCTCCGCAGCTGACTGCGTGGGGTTGGGGAAGAGGCTCTGCCCCCCAGGACTGGGTGAAGGGTCAGTGGAGGGTGTGGCCTGGAGTCTTGGGCTCATCAATGCTCATCTTGCCAGGAGATCCCAGGCTAGTCTGTGCCCACTTCCTCTTCTAGCCCAGAGGGTAACACTTTTTGAAGCTGAGGGTATACCATAGCCCTGCCATGGAAACCTATCACTTGACCTTTTGTGGTTTTGGGCATTGGTGGGGCCAACGAGTAGCTTGGGTAGGGCATTCTCTGCCCCCTAAGCAGAGCCACCCAAATGAACAAATCAGCCAAGTGATAACAGTGCACCTGTCGGCAAACACGGCTTCAAGGTTGATTTCTTCTTATCATCCCAACCTCCCTTTCCAATCAGATCCTCACCCTAAGAACTTCCACCTACAAGTTCCCTTTAAAAGGGTTTCTATAGACAGAATAATGGCCAAAAAACATATGAAAAAATGCTCAACATCTCTAATCATCAGGGAAATGCAAATCAAAACCACAATGAGATATCACTTA